TAATTAGCAGGGCACAGAGGTTATACTAGAAAGGGTACTATCGGTAGGAAGCTGGGAAATGAGAGCAATCAAAGCATTTATTATCTTAATGCAATTCAGGTAAACAGCGTGTGATCAGTGTCTGGTGTAGCTGTACTGAATGGTGGAGAAAGTAGTGAGTTCTGCTTGGTAGAGGTGTGTTTGTGAGATCTGTAGATTACTCTGAGGTGTGTGATGAGTTGTGATTGTGATAGGAGGAGATCTGTTTTTCACCCTCTCATGTGTAAGGAGAGGAAAGGGAACAGGTGCCTGAGTACCTTTAAGGTGCAGTATGCATCATTTCTATGATGAATTGTGTAAGTTATATCAGTAGCAGGCCTTGGTGCTTTTATGACAAAAGGATATTGTCAGCAGTGAGGTGGAATATAAGAAGATTCTAAAGCTTTAATGATGGTTAAATGAAATTGTAGGTTCAGATGGTATCCTGTATAAAATATACACCAGGAATAAGGCCCAGCCCATTTTTGCCCAAGTGAATTATTGCAATCTCTTGTAGATCATGACCAGTTAAGATATTGCAGAGTGGACAAAACATGATGCCAGTGCAGGCCACCTCTCTCCACCCAATCAGCCTGTGGACAGTAATCCCCATGTCATGATGTATTCCTTGCTCTCCTGCAAATTTCTGTAACTTTGTGACCCAGGAATCACCCAGAAACCACACACTGAAAACCCTGGCAGCATATTTCCCTGAGCAGTCAAGGTACCTGCACTATCAGTTCCAAAACTGTGCACTATGTATCTGCGAACACCACATTAATCTGTCCTGAGATCAGGATGTAGCCACTTGTGGCCTGCCCCACCAGGGGCTAGTAAAATATAGATTTTCTCAAACAACCAGTCCAAGGTTTACCTACCGTCCATCCTTATTTCCTGCCCCTTCTGCAGCCACAACCCCCTGTCTCCTATCCTGCCCCACCTCCCCACACAAAGTCTTCTGCCTTTGGTTCCTTCCCACCTGATATAACAAATATTTTGGGTAGACCAGCTGCTGACTATTTTGCAGAGCTCTCAGTAAACCTCCTCATACAATAAAAACATATTTTAACAGAAATTACTTGTAGCAAGAAACATTAATTATTAAATCTTTACTGCAGAGCTGTACAAAGGTTTGGACAAGAAACATCAATGAAGGGGTGTTCACTAGGGGAAACGGCATTAGCAACGCACTTGAATACCCAGACAAGCATAAGGTGGCTGCTCAGAAGCCATCTCACTTTTTTTTTTCTTTGTTGAGGCATGCGCAGGGTAATCCTTCCAGACTACACATCTATACAAATGAAGAAGTGAACACATTCTTAAATACAATTCACAATTTGGGTGCCCCAAAGGCTTAGTGGGTGCCAGGCACTACTTTCAGAGCCTTCAGAGCTGGGTGCCCGGCCAGAAGCTGCCACTCTCTGACCGCCCAGCTCTGAAGGCAGTGCAGAAGTAAGGGTGTCAATACCATGACCCCCCTACAATAGGCTTGTAACCCCTTTGTGGGTTGGGGTCCCCAGTTTGAGAAACACTGTGCACTTTTACCCTATAGTATAAGCAGATTTCACAGGGGAGACCAGATTTCACGGTCTGTGATGCAGTTTTCACGGCTGCGAATTTCGTAGACCCCTAGCTATGATAGGATCTCTCCCTCTCTCTTGTTTTTCCACAAGAACGGTCTGGGTTTTGCATGCTAGGGGATGGGCTGACCTGGCTTTTGCCTAACTCCAAGAAGTGGTTCATGGCTCAAGTGGAGGGTAGCACCTCCCTCCAGCCTGTCAGACACTTGAGGTCTAGATCAATGGCAGTAAGGTGCCTAAACACCTTTGAGGATCTGGACCTAAGCCTCACCCCTTTCCTCTGCATTTCACTCATGTCTAATTTAGATGGCTCCCCACGCAGCTTGCTGGCTTCTGATAATCCCTTCCGTAGGCACCTAACTGTCTCCATGCATTGTATGGGGAGTCTGAGTGCCGTACTTGGGGTTAAGGATTCCAGTAGGTGACAGTGCATCTAGGGCTTAGGTGTTGCAACACTGAATGAAGTTCCTCTGTGGATTTAGCCCTAACTGCCTAAGTCACTTTTGAAAATGAGGTTCAGACTTCTAAATGAGGTTTAGGCACTTTTGAAAATTGTATCCAAGATTATACTTTCCAGAAGTAATTCTATCAAAAAAAGGTAATAGTCTGGGTATTACAGATATGGGCAACTGCTTTGATTGGAATATGAGAGCGCTTCTGATTTCAAAATGGCCTAATAAAAAAAAAGCAGTAGTATTTTGCTAGGAAATTTGCTAGGAAACGCAGATATTTGCAGAATGGCATTAGAGGTAGCTACGTTACATCCTTTGGTTATACAGCTAGTTCCCATGAAAATCTTTGAAAAGTTAGGGGAAGGCTCTAGTTTCCACTAACCTTTATAAGCAGAAATTTGGAATCTTAATGATAAAAAAAACAAAATGCAGAAGGGAGGAAAGTAGAGGGGGAGACAGAGAGAGACCTGCAGAGATAAATAAAACGATCATCAACAAAATCATGCAAAGTCAGCACGCTCATTGGGGTTTCATTAGTAAACAACATTGAAACTTCTGTATACTGACAAAGAGCAATCTTTTTCTATGTTGAGAAGTGTTATAAAATGCAAAAGAATCCACAAGAGCAGAGAAATGAGGAGAACATGATCATTGAAACTGTGATGTAAATGAGCAAGTCAGAGAACTAAAAGTGATTAATATTAAAAAAAAAATTCTCCTACTGCAGATGAAAAAGGAAAAAAATGGACTGGTTAAAATAATGCTTTATGTTATTTTACAATTATGAACACTATGGAGTTATACCTGAAGAAGCACACCCTCTTGACAACACCAGATCCTTGAACTCTGATTCCATATCTAAATTACTTAAGACTTTCCTTCCCCTTCCCATCTTGGTGTATAAGAAGTTGCTTGAGTGTAAAAAGATAGAAAACTTATAAATATGTTTTTATTATTACTTTTCCACTCCATTTAAAAAAACGTATTTCACTAAACTATTGCCGACTATAGGTTAGTAATAAATGTTACTTTAATATAATTTGAATACTACTACTTTGTAATACATAAAAAACCCTTGAAACTTAATTAATGTAGGTTTCAGAGTAACAGCCGTGTTAGTCTGTATTCGCAAAAAGAAAAGGAGTACTTGTGGCACCTTAGAGACTAACCAATTTATTTGAGCATGAGCTTTCGTGAGCTACAGCTCACTTCATCGGATGCATACCGTGGAAACTGCAGCAGACTTTATATACACACAGAGAATATGAAACAATACCTCCTCCCACCCCACTGTCCTGCTGGTAATAGCTTATCTAAAGTGATCATCAAGTTGGGCCATTTCCAGCACAAATCCAGGTTTTCTCACCCTCCACCCCCCCACACAAATTCACTCTTGTGCTGGTGATAGCCCATCCAAAGTGACAATTTGTGCAGGAAATGGCCCAACTTGATTATCATGCACATTGTGTAGAGAGTTGTCACTTTGGATGGGCTATCACCAGCAGGAGAGTGAATTTGTGTGGGGGGGTGGAGGGTGAGAAAACCTGGATTTGTGCTGGAAATGGCCCAACCTGATGATCACTTTAGATAAGCTATTACCAGCAGGACAGTGGGGTGGGAGGAGGTATTGTTTCATATTCTCTGTGTGTATATAAAGTCTGCTGCAGTTTCCACGGTATGCATCCGATGAAGTGAGCTGTAGCTCACGAAAGCTCATGCTCAAATAAATTGGTTCGTCTCTAAGGTGCCACAAGTACTCCTTTTCTTTTTAATTAATGTATTATTTCCAATCACAGCATATCTTTTCAAATCAATATTTTAGTTTCAGTTGCTCACTCCTGATTAAGTTGTCTAAGACTTTCATAACATGTGGAACCTTTTTTCCACTCTCTATTTTTGGATACCTCTGAACTTAAACTTTTATTGTCAAACTAGAAAAATTATAGAAGCTTCTCTGAGAAGTATTAAAATTTCCTCTCTCTGTGGTGTTTCTTACAATGGTTTGTTTAGAAATAAAATTTAATTTAACAATTTTAGATTTTTTTTTTCAAAATTAATTCACACAGCATGCATAGTAATATTCATAATACATAAAAACCTAACACAACACCCACAACTCTATCACTTTACTATTTGAAATGTTATTCAGAAAAGAATCTTATTGATCACTGAAGATTTCCAGCTACCATGGTAACAGTATTAGTCATTGTTTTGAAAGTTGAGACCCACTGGAAGCTATTTTGATATTCTCAACAACAAAATATTGCTTTTGTTTAAAAAGAAAAAAATTAAAGCAATAAGACATGATATAGTATGATGATACATTCTTAGACATATCACTGCACTCAAAGTAGGATGATTGAATACAATGTCAATGTAGATTTTTTCCGGTATTAGACATCAGAATATTGTGGACTAGTAAACCAAAATATTGACCTACAGTACGCAAAGACAATAATCCCAACAGGAGAGTTGTAGCTTTGTGATTATTTCTGTCATATTTTCCATCCAACTAATGATTGAAACCACATGAAAAAAACATTTTTTTCCAAGACTCACAGCAAAGAAACCACTTCACACGCACTCTTTAGGCAAACACCAGTTTGTTCACTGTTAGTGAAAAAAAGTCACAATTTTGCTTCCCCTCCACTATTAGTTCCAATGATCAGTTGGAAAAACAAATTACATAGAATACATCAGGAAGGTAAAAATCATCTATCTTGTGGGAATCACTCTCAGAGCAGTCAGATTTTATACCTACCCACCTCAATAGTGTCCCTTTACATGTATTTTAGAACAATGTTTAATGTGAGAATTAAAGCACAGTTAATTAAATTGTATTCTGCATTGAATTTAAGTATTGTCATAGAAATGATCCCACAGATGATAAATTGTGAAGACTGAGTATTAGATTTACATATACTGAAACTGAGTCTATTACAGAACTTACCATGTGCGTCTGGTAGACTTGATTTACATTCTACAACATGCTGTGCTGGAGCATTCACTAAAACAGCTCAAAAGAAAAAAGGTAACAACAAATGTCTTACAGTACACAATAACAGATGTATACATTCAAATATAGCAGATATTTACTTATACAGTAGAACCTCAGAGTTACAAACACCAGAGTTATGAACTGACCAGTCAACCACATACCTCATTTGGAACCAGAAGTATGCATTCAGGCAGCAGCAGAGACCAAAGGGGCGGGGGAGAGGGGAAGCAAATACAGCACAGTATTGTGTTAAACATAAACTACTAAAAAAATAGAGGGAAAGCAGCATTTTTCTTCTGCATAGTAAAGTTTCAAAGCTGTATTAAGTCAATGTTCAGTTGTAAACTTTTGAAAGAATCACCATAATGTTTTGTTCAGAGTTACGAACATTTCAGTATTATGAACAACCTACATGCCCAAGGTGTTTGTAACTCTGAGGTTCTACTGTAGCACATTTATAAATTAATTATGGAACATATTTCAAGGGAAAGACAACATTTTATACCAACAGAGTTTCCAAAATAGTAAAAGGTTGCTTTACTAAGGAATTGAAGTGACAGTATTATCAAGTTGCTGGAGATGGAAGAGGTAAACCTGAAATCCTGCTCTGCCACTGAGTTGTAGGTGTAAACCTGGCCAAGTCACTTAACCTGTTTTTGTCTCTGTTTTCTAATGTGTGAAATGCTTCCTGTAATAGCATAGTTTGTCCCTTGTGACAGCAGTGAGGGCCCAGGACTAGCTGATTCCAATGCATGGCTTCTTTAGGAACAGGTAGTTCCGGGAAAGCTCCCCAGACCAAGATGGAAATAGTGTCCAGAAGTCATGCCGCTGAACGTTATTAAAGGTCTTAGCTCAGTCAAAAGCAAGCCTGGAGTCAGGAGAAGATTGCAGGGAGAATCTCCTGTGGTGAACCACGATGACGATGGGCTATGAAATCCTACCAGGATTCAAAAAGGCTGGACTGTGAAGACTCTGCCCCAAGGGAAGGAAGAACTTGAGTCCAGGGACCAGGGCTAGGAAAAGACCTGGGAGGGAAGATGGGGGGGAAACAGGTTTCACCAGAGAGGCTCAGGAGTCAGAGTGGGACTCGCAGATAGTCTCAAGTAGAGATGGAACTGGGGATCCAAGAAAGAGCCAGAGTCAGAAGCCCTGAAACAGGGGTAAATTGGAAACCCTGACTAAGCAAGGGTAGAAGCCTGAACGGGCCAAAGGAATCATGTGTTTATTTTGTGAGGACTTAATAAATCAGGCCCTAAGAGGGAGGAATGTTATGTTTCTTGGGATTCCCTTGGAGACCTTACTACTCAGCTTATCCACAACACCTCGTCCAGTTCTGGAAGAACACTTCGTCCAGCTCTCTGGGATTCAAAAATCTCAGTTCAGCTCCAGCTCATCGCTCAGGTTACTTTATTAGGCATGTAACAGCTCTTTGCCCACACTGGTCAGGCCTAGACGCAGGGGGTTTGGGTACAGGGTGATATCATAATTTCAATTCATGTCACACTTCACACTGTGTATATACATTCTAGCTACTAACATCTACGCTTCTTACATGTGAGGTCCAATCACTATGCAGATAGCTTAAGGCAAGCTTATCAGTTCAGACTGCTCCTGCCTACTTTGTTCACTATAAACATACCAACCATCATTAGTTTAGTTAGTTTCTGCCTCCCTTATGTTCTATAAACATATTCACAACAGTTAGTTGCTTCAGCAATTACTTGTTCAGGTTTATTTAGCAGTTACTTGTTCAGGGCTGTCTTAGCGGACATGAGCAGACTCAACTTAAGACAAGTTAGCCCTACAATGTTAAAACTCTTAGCCACAGGAGAACCAAGAGGGGAACTAAGATGAGGCGACTGCAGCACCAACTCTACTGAGGTATGCTCTGGGACTCCACCCTGCAACATCTGCCTATATTTTAGGGCTTGTAAGGTTTAACTAACTGTAAAGTTATTTGAGATCCTCAGATACAAGGTGCTATCAGTCCAAAGCATTATTATAGTTGTTAAAATAATTACAAAATAGTTGTAAATTATTGAATTTCATCTGCCCTCTCAATATCTGTCCTTTGTATGCACGTGAAGTAAATCTCCACCTGCCCAAGATGCCAATAGGCACCCAACAATAAAACTATTCAAGCTAAAGTATTTTTAAAACCCAAACCAAAAGTTGTAAAATAATTTACATTTTAAAGATTATTAAATACCATGCTTTCATGTCGCCTCCCTTCAAGTGTTCAGCTTTGTGCCTTGTAAAACCTTAAGGTTGCAAATCTGTGCAGGTTTGACACACAGCAGAAAAGAGGCAAGGAACCAGCAGCACTGACACAATATGAAGTACAGTTACATTGCAAGTGCTGATTTGATTTTTAAAATTAAATTTGTGAAGTTCAAGTATCAATTCGTAATGTACTATACCATTTGCACTCGGATAACTGTATTTTAGCATTTTGTATTAGGATAACTGAACCGAAATGTTAGACTCAGAAGTATGATAAATCTAATTTATAGCCTTTTCTTATAGCCTGCACTTACCATCATGTGGTTTGACGCTTATTAGTGGTTTTGTGGACAACTGTTTTAGCTGAAACAGAAAAATTTACAATAAGGTGAGGACACAGTTAGAAATGGATGCCATAAGACTGAATAAAATTATTGTCCTCAAATACAAAGCCTCAAATGAAAATAATTATTGAAGTATATAAAGCCTAACAAAATTTCCACTATTGCCAAAAGACAGGATGACAGGAATGATTATTTAAAATGCTACATAGATGAAGAAATTTTGTTTTCATTGGACTCCACTTCATTCAACACTCAAGCTGCATGGTGCTCAGTGAAGGAGGACCCTGCAATGCAGGAGGGTCTCAGAGCTCGGGCTCCAGCCCGAGCCCAGAAATCTACACAGCAATGAAACAGCCCCATAACCCTAACCCCATGAGCCCAATTCAGCTGGCATGGGCCAGCTGGGGGTTTCTCTCTGCTCTGTAGACATACCTCGTATGCCATTCAACTATGCAGTGAAATAGGCAGGGGTCCTATGGGTGCCTGTATCGTTTACTACATGCTGTATTTCCAACTTCTACAGTGGGGCCTGAAGTCCAGCTCCAATCCAACAAAGCACTTAAGCACATGCTTAATTTTAAGTGTGTGAAAAGTCCCATTGATTTCCTCTGGTCTCCAACCATATTCACTACACAGTTCAGCCTCAGTTGCCACTCAGCCTGTGCAATGAACAAAGATGGGGTTCTGCAGAAAAACATTTAGATAATCATTAAGGTTAAGATTCGGTCATGGGTATTTTTAGTAAAAGTCAAGGGAAGGTCGCAGGCAATAAACAACATTTCACAGAAGCCTGAGACCCGTCCCTGACTTTTACTAAAAAAATCCTGGTGTGGGGGGGACTAACAGTTGAGCACTGCCGGGGGCTGAGCCTCGGAGCTGCTCCAGCATCATGGCTGCTCCTGCAGCAGTGGCTGACTGCCGCTGCTCCAGCTACAGAGGGCTGACCCAACCCCAGCCGCTGCTTCAGCCCTGGGGCTTCTGATCAGGCGGCCCAATGGCTGACTGCCGGCCGCTGCTCCAGAGGTCCCTGCTCTGACATCCCTGGGGCTGACAGTTGATCCAGCCCTGCGCAAGCAATTGTGGAGGTCCTGGAAAATCAAGGAATCTGTGACCTCCATGACAGAACCATACCTTTAATAATCATATAATTTAAAAGGTGTCCTGGGGCCCAATTGAGCAAAGCACTTAAGCCTGTCTCATATTTAATGTATAAGCAACTAGAGACACATCAAAATTTGCTCAGGTACATAAGGGTTGATCACATATAGCAAGAGTTCTTCAAGATGGTCTCTGCAAATTCCCACTCTTGAGATGTGCTGATGGTGGTTAGTGCACCCCATGCATGGAAATGTGCAGAGATTGCTTGAAGAATCATAACTTTAGCATTTATAGACTTTTGAGGCCTTCATTATGAAACCCTGAAGTTCTTGTATCACAGTTCCTTGCAAGGAACTTCTTAGATTTTTAATTTATTTTTTGCATTTAGAAACCAATTTTTATCATTTATAGCTATTTGCTAAACAACAGTAGAACACAGTGTCCTGCATAATTTTTTTACTAATCAAACCAGGGCTATAAATGAATGTTTCTGAAGTATGTCTTATGTCTATTTCTTTCTAGTCAAATCTCATTTAATGTCGTCATGAAGGTTAGTTATATTCATTTAAATTCATCATCACATTCCTTTATAAACCCATTCTGACTTTGATCAATCTGTATTTACAAAAGTGTTCTTATTTTGTCCTTAGTAAATTTCCTGGTAGAAAGGTCAGACTTGAACTTTTTAACTTACCAATATTTTAAAAGGATCAAGGAAAATATTGAGATCATGTTCAGTTCTCTTTAGTCCCTCACCCTATTTCCAGTGATGATTTCCAAATTCTTAATGCTACTTTTTAATTTGCTTGATATCTTCCTGTAAAATATGCTACCATATTCATTTCCCTATTGACACATTCTTCCATCCTTGGCACATCCAACCCATCAAAGGTCTCAACTCATAGTGTGTCACCTGAATGGTACCTTCTTTCATGATCTATCCAGTCTAACTTTCAGTTTCTCTCAGCAATCTCATCTGCTGTTCAAGCCCTTCCACTTTGAGGAACTTTGACCTTCATAGTTGCCTTTCAGAAAAGGAGCCTTGAGATCCTTTATGAGACATTTTATAACCCAGGTAATGCTGCTTTCCTTTGGAGATGTCACTTTTCTTGTATGGAGTTTGTCTGAGACTAAGTACTCTTCTACATCTGCTTCTCTGAATATACTATTTAATTGTATTTTATTTATTGATCAGTAGGTTTCTGACTCTCAGCTGTAATTTTTTGTTATGGAAAATGACTTAAGAGTTGCTACTTGCTAACCAGCCACACAAATCTTGGCCCCCCATTGTGCAAAGACTTATGCATGTGCTTAAAATTAAACACTTTCTGAAGTCTGCAAAATCAGACTCTTGTTGATAAGCACACACAATTTAACACATAGATACATTAATAGATTTTTAAAGCCGGAAGGGACCATTATGATGATCTAAACCAGAGGTGGGCAAACTAGTGGCCCGTGGGACCCTCCTGCCTGGCCTGAACTCCTGGCCCAGGAGGCTAGCCCCAGCCCCTCCCCCAGTGTTCCCCTTTCCCTGCAGCCTCAGCTCACTGCGCTGCCAGCTCAATGCTCTGGGCAGTGGGGCTGTGAGCTCCTGGGGCAGCACAGCTGCAGAGCCCAGCCTGACCCAGTGCTCTGTGCTGCACAGTGGCATGGCTGGCTCCAGCCATCGGTGCTCCAGGCAGCGCGGTAAGGGGGCACGGAACGGGGTTTGGATAGAGGGCAGGGAAGTTCGGTGGGGGTGGTGGTCAGGGGGTGGATGGGGTCGGGACAGTCAGAGGGCGGGGAATGGGAGGGTTGAATGGGGGCTGGGGTCCCAGGGGGGCAGTCAGGAATGAGAGGAGGGGTTGGATGGGGCGGTGGGGCAGTCAGGGGTGGGGGTTCCAGGGGTGGTCAGGGGACGGGGGCCTTGATGGGGCAGGAGTCAGGGGCCGTTAGGGGGTGAGGGCTAGGCCACGCCTGGCTGTTTGGGGAGGCACAACCTCCCCTAATCAGCCCTCCATACAATTTCTGAAACCCGATGCGGCCCTCAGGCCAAAAAGTATGCTCACCCCTGATCTAGACAGATCTACTGCATAACACAGGCCATACAACCTCACCCAGTAATTTCTGAATCAAGCCCATAAACTGTTTGAACTATAGTATCTCTTTTAGAAATCTATTCAGTCTTGATTTAAGAACTTGACGTGATGGAGAATCCATCACATTCCTAGGTTAGCTGTTTCAATGATTAATTATCCTCATGGTCAAAAAATTGTGCCGTATTTCTAGTCTGAATTTGTCTAGCTTCAATTCTAGCCATTAGATCTTGTTATGCCCTTTTCTCATAAATTAGAACAGTGTCTACACTCAGAAATCTCTTCCCAGATAGATACTTGTAGACCATAACCAAGTCAACTCTTAATCTTGTCTTGGATAAGCTAAATAGACTGAGCTTGTTAAGTTTCTCACTGTGAAGTATGTTTTCCAGACCTCAAATCACTACTGCTGATCTTTCCTGAGCCCTTTCCAATTTGATAAATCTATGAATGGGATTTCTGACTGGGTTGACTGCAACAATAGAAGATTGAATTTGATGGCCCAGGCGGACCCTTTTAGAAGTACGGCCATCAAAACTGGATACAGTATTCCAGTAATGATCTCACCAATGCCACTTACAGAGGTAAAACCACCAATTTGAGTTTTAGGAGAATACTGATTTATGAAAATTGGAAATTCATCCACAGATTACAGTATTTAAAAAAAAAAAAAATCTCCTCTCACATGCCCCCAAGGTTTTAGATACCCAAGAATACATTATAAAACAGACCTGCTGTTTTTGAGAAATAATCAGCTCGTTCTGTTCCTGAAGCCTCTGCCCTAGCTCCTCTATCCTTTTCTTATAGAAGATGTTACTTGCATTTAGGTCCTCTGTCATTGATGATTTAAGCTTCTCAATCTGTGACAGTAGCTACAAAATAAACCAGTGAAAAGTAACTAATTGTTAATATTACATAAATTAGGGTTGTTGATTAATCACAGTTAACTGCCGCAATTAACTAAAAAAAATTAATTGTGATTAAAATAATTAATCTCAATTCATTACAGTTTTAATCGCACTATTAAATAATAGAGTACCAATTGAAACATATTAAATATTTTGGATGTTCTTCTACATTTTCATATATATTGTATTCTGCGTTGTAACTGAAATCAAAGTGTATATTTTTTATTACAAATATTTGCACTGTAAAAATGATAAACAAAAGAAATAGTATTTTTCAATTCACCTTATACAAGTACTGTAGTGTAATCTCTTTACCATGAAAGTGCACTTTACAAACGTGGATTTTTTTTTGTTACGTAACTGCACTCAAAAACTAAACAATGTAAAACTTCAGAAGCCTACAAGTCCATTCAGCCAATCGCTAAGACAAACAAGTTTGTTTACATTTATGAGAGATAATGCTGCCCTCTTCTTATTTACAATGTCACCAGAAAGTGAGAATAGGCATTTATATGGCACTTTTGTAGCTGGCATTGCAAGGTATTTACATGCCAGATATGCTAAACATTCCTATGCCTCTTCATGTTTCGGCCACCATTCCAGAGGACATGCTTCCACGCTGATGACGCTTGTTAAAAAAATAATGCATTAATTAAGTTTGTGACTGAACTCCTTGGGGAGAACTATATGTCTCCTGCTCTGTTTTATCCGCATTCTGCCATATATTTCATGTTATAGCAGTCTCGGATGATGCCCCAGCACATGTTGTTCATTTTAAGAACACTTTCTCGGCAGATTTCACAAAACACAAAGAAGGTACTAATATGAGATTTCTAAAGATAGCTAAAGCACTTGACCCAAGGTTTAAGAATCTGAAGTGCCTTTCAAAATCTGATAGAGACGAGGTGAGGGGCATGCTTTCAGAAGTCTTAAAAGAGCCACACTCAGATGCAGAAACTACAGAACCCAAACCACCGAAAAAGAACATCAACCTTCCGCTGCTGGCATCTGAGTCAGATAATGAAAATGAACAGGCATTGGTCTGCACTGCTTTGGATAGTTATCGAGCAGAACCCATCATCGAAAGGGACACTTGTCCCCTGGAATGGTGGTTGAAGCATGAAGGGACATATGAATTTTTAGTGCATCTGGCACATAAATATCTTGCAACACTGGCTACAACAGTGCCATGTGAATGCCTGTTCTCACTTTCAGGTGACACTGTAAACAAGAAGCGGGCAGCATTATCTCCTGCAAATGTAAACAAACTTTTTTGTCCGAGTGATTGGCTGAACAAGAAGTGGGACTGAGTGGACCTGCAGGCTCAAGTTTTGTTTTTGAATGCCAGTTTTTTTGTACATAATTTTACATTTGTAAGTTCAACTTTCATGAAAAAGAGATTGCACTACAGTACTTGTATTAGGTGAACTGAAAAATACTGTTTCTTTTATTTTTTTACAGTGCAAATACTTGTGATCAAAAATAAAGTGAGCATTGTACACTTTGTATTCTGTGTTGTAATTGAAATCAATATATTTGAAAATGTAGAAAACATCCAAAATATTTAAAGAAATGGTATTCTATTATTGTTTAACAGTGCGATTAATCATGCAATTAATCACAATTAATTTTTTTAATCTTGACAGTCCTACATAAAATATTTTATTATGTTGTTTACACAAGCAAGGTTTTGGTTCAAATCCTTCTCCTCATGGCCCTGTGGAAATGAGTTTCTCTAGGGTGCCCCCTTCTACTCTACTCTAGCCACTCCCTTCTCTGGACTTCCCCCTGCTTGACTACAGCACCCTCTTTTTAAAGCTCCCCATTCCTATCATGCATGACTGGCAGGGGAGGAGGGTCAGGGCTACTTTAGAACACTCAGCCTCCCTAGCCCCAGTGAAGGGTTTGAGCACTCTGTCACACCCTAATTCAAGAAAGTATTTAAGCATGTGTGATTTCAACGGGGCTCATACATGTGTTGCGGTGCTTTCCTGAATACGAGACTTTTTTTCTAAATCAGGGCCTATAACATTTTTCATTTACACAGAGTATTAAAAAGCACAGAATGCAGTAAGGGATGTGCGTATACATTATGGACATGGTCTGAAAGTAAGACCTACAGGGAAATGTATAGGACTAGATAAAGAAAATTATTTACAGTTACCCATGGTAGCAAATAATGCTATTTTAGAAAGAATAGATGGGAATCTGGGCAATGAACACAAAAATGGGCAACGAGTATGGGACAGAATGCAGTGACAAACCCCATAAGGAATACACACAATTTCACCTGTCCCCTACTCTTGTACCCAGTGTGTGTGTGTAAGTAATTTACTATATCCCTTTTCAGGATGTTGCATGACTCTTCCCTGCTGCTTGCTTGCTGGGGGTGAAGTAGTAATAGCCATGCAGCCCCTGATCTTCCCATTTTTGATCTGGACAGTTCCGGATCATGGCTATGTTGTCAAATGAGACATGAAGGGAGGAGGAGGAAGGAAAGACAGAAAATTAGAGCAGGAAGGAGAGGAAAAAATAACTAGAAGAAAAAATGATAAAGACTGAAGAAGAGAAAGAAAAAGTAAAATATGAGAATTAATGCAGAAATCAAATTCCCTTATAATGTTTTTCCTGGAACAAGAAAAGCTCAAAGGATTCAGGACTAGAGAGACCCAATGGGGGAAAAAAGGGGAGGATGCAGGGAGGAATTTGAGATTCACGGCTGGAAAAGGTTGGAAATCCGCCCCCATTGGCCCATCAGGATAAATGAGAGCTGTACATTGCCATTTTATTTTGTACATTATATTAACTACCTAGTATGCAAAAATACTATATAGCACATTCTGCACATAGCTGAAAAAACGTTAAACTCTTCAGGCCATGGACTCAGTCTCTCTGTGTTTCCACAGGTTCTTTAACAACAGGACCCTGATCCTGACTGCTATCTCTGGGCACTACCGTAAAAGAAATAGAGAAATAATAAATAATTCTATATACTAAAAGAATGTATTCTGAACATAAATTCTGATTATCTATGATTTCTAATCTGCCAGTTGTTGAAAACTGTATTAGTAGCATTGTCAGAGTGTGGTGCTTGCTTTTATTTCACTGGCTTAAAAATAGGTTGTTGGTATAAATACATTGCTATGCAATCTTACCTGGCACCTTTCTTTTTCATGTTCTTGATGAAGGGCTTGTATTCTGGAAGTCCACTTACCCTCCTACAATGAAAGTAAATGTTCACTGAAAAGATTTTGTTTGTATTAAAAATTGGTTAATCATGAAGCTGAATTACATTATAACAGCATAAAAGATTATTAATACTGGAGCATTTCAGTAACCCCTTCCTTATGACTTAAACAGTAATTGAAGTGTCTCATATGTTTGAGTGTAATTGTTATTTGTTAAAAGAAAAGGAGTACTTGTGGCACCTTAGAGACTAACCAATTTATTTGAGCATGAGCTTTCATGAGCTACAGCTCACTTCATCGGATGCATACCGTGGAAACTGCAGCAGACTTTATATACACACAGAGAATATGAAACAATACCTCCTCCCACCCCACTGTCCTGCTGGTAATAGCTTATCTAAAGTGATCATCAGGTTGGGCCATTTCCAGCACAAATCCAGGTTTTCTCACCCTCCACCCCCCCACACAAATTCACTCTCCTGCAGGTGATAGCCCATCCAAAGTGACAACTCTCCACACAATGTGCATGACAATCAAGTTGGGCCATCTCCTGCACAAATCCAGGCTCTCCCACCCCCCCACCCCCACCCCCAAAAACCACACACACAAACAGTTTGTGTGTGTGGTTTTTGGGAGGGGGGTGAGGGGGCGAGAGAACCCGGACCTGTGCAGGAAATGGCCCAACCTGACCATCATGCACATTGTGCAAAGAGCTGTCACCCTGGATGGGCCATCACCAGCAGGAGAGCGAACCTGTGTGGGGGGGTGGAGGGCGAGAAAACCTGGATTTGCGAATACAGACTAACACGGCTGTTACTCTGAAACCTGTTATTTGTTATTCATCATACTGGAAATTATGTATTCATAGGATCCTGGACATGTAAGTACTGTCTCTCAGTTGACAAAATATAAAGTTACCATGATATATTTCATTTCGCTAATAACAAACATATGAGTAGTCTGTTTTCTAAATAACATAAGTTCAAACACTGGTTAATGGAGCGTTGTTTATAGTGCCAAAGAAATAAAACACCTTAACTTGTTAAAGATGGAGTACACTTCCCTTTGTGGGAAGAACTGAACAAATTCCACCATGAATTGTCTTCGATTAAAAGAAAGGGGAGGCGGGGAGAGAACAACCCATTACTAAAAGTTTCTAACATCTCAGAGTTTCTTATCATTTGTTCAATTTTTAAATGTATTTTTCCAAAGCAACACCAGGATGAAGGTGGCGCAAATGATTCCTTCTGCCAATGAACTCCACCCAGAACATATATGGCATAGGTGAGCATTCCAGGTCAATGTGTCTAAATCCTTCTTCAGCAAGTCACACTGGGAATAATTTCCATTACAGAAATTACTAATGATATTTAGTAGATAGCAGTGAATCAGAAAAGAAAAAAATACTTTAGCAAATGAGAATTACAGGAAATTTACTCTGAATTTTACATTCTTATTTACAGAAGTACAAACACAAAGACTAGCAGTAGTGATCACTATATTGTATGTTCATCTTTACATCAGAGTACTACCTGTTTTTCAAGAAGTTGCATCATATTCTGATAATCCTGATCATTCTGAGTTCTCTCTTCTGTAAATTCATGGCTGTCTTTTAAAGTGCCTAAGTTGGATTTCAGCTGCATATTGGACTTCTGTAATTCTAACAATTGCTAAGAGGAAAAATATCTGTTAAAAACCCAGCATATATTCAAGAAAATATTATAGGACTGCAGTTTAATATGCAATTTGGTTTAAATTACAACTGGTTTAAGAGTTGGTGTATGCATCAGACTCTCCCCACAAATGTTTCTAAGCAGTAAAACATCAGTTTTACTGTGATTACAAGGATGCAGGTTAGGAACTAGCACCAACAAAATAAAAGCAATTCTACTAAATTCATGCACATTGCTTTTCTGATGTGCCTGGACACTCACAGCTGTATCCATAGTCAGAAAACTTGGAAATGCAACTTTCTATCTTTGTGACAACACCCCAGGCAGTTCTACTCTCTTAGGACCTTGCTACGGAGGCTATTACTCCTCATCTATGTCACTCATAATCACCTACACTTGGTAGGTGCCGCCAGACAGTAATGATAAAATACTAACCAATTGCAAAACAAGAACTCAGTGGTTCAGGACTAAGAAAAGAGTAAATAAACATGTAACTTGTAGGCAGGATTCCCTCATACAAATGAGTGCAATTCAGAAAATAACTGAAAATATTTTGGAATTAAGGAGACAATACCAGAATATAACCATTAATTAATTAACTAAATATTTTTTAAATTTTATACAGCTCTTATAATGTTAACATCATGATACTGCCCCCCTTTGTAAAGAGCTTTGAGATTTGCTAATGGAAAGCATTATATAAGAGCTAGGTATTATTATGATATGTTTCAAATAATAAACCAAGATCAGTTCATTACAGACAATATTAACAGAAATTCCATATTTAAATCACTTACATTTTCTAATACAGTATTCTTTGCAGCTAATTCTTTAAACTCCTTCATAAACATCTCTTTTACTTTCTCTATTTCATCAGCCAATTTCTCTTTTTCTTCCTCTTTCCATTTATGAAAAGATTGCAGAATTTCTTCTTCTTTTGATCTTTGATGTTCATATTCCTGAAATTATTTTAAAATGTTACCCTAAGAATGCTCTCACTCTGTTCTCACATACAAAAGAATGAAACATTAAAACTGGCAAATGTAATAGCTAAGTTATATGAATCAAATAGTTACAATATTGTGACATCAATTTTTAAGCAGAACTTCTGAGTGAAACCAATTATTTGAACGAGTATTTTTTCCCTTCTCTAAATAAACAACTGCAGCTCCTACAGGCACTTGCGTAAAGAATTTTGCCTAAAGACTGCATCACATTCCTCTCTTAAGTCTCAACCTGTAAGCTTTTGCTTTGCATTTATCACTTATGCTGTCCTTAACTCTTGTCTGAATAAGTCAATGGGAAGTTCTGCCAAAAAACTAAGGCCCATTTCCTTCTAATATATTGAAATTAATACAAGTTAAAAAAACAAAAACAACCGCAAAAGTTTAAGGCTACAAAGCCTTACCAATTTGCGTATTTTACAGACTTGTAAAAACATATTCATATTATCTGGCTGGTTCTTGCTTACACGCTCAGAGTCTAACTGATCATGATATGTGGGGTTGGGAAGGAATTTTCCCCCAGTTCCGACTGGCAGGAGCCTTGTGGGGTTTTCACATTCCCCTGCAGCATGGAGTGCAAGTTACTTGCTGGTGTTGTCAGGGTATATCTCACTTGGTCAATTCCCTGTCACTGCATGGGCCTCCTGCACTGGTGCACCTTGGCCCCTCCTATTCTCTGCCCATAGCACATAATAGTTTAGTCTCCCATGGTCTCTAGTGAGTTGGTCTAATTTCAGTTGGTGGGGTTATTATATGGGTACTGGCTGATACTGGTAGCCTGTGATATACAGGAGGTCAGACTAGATAATTTGGTGGTCCCTTCTGACCTTAAAGTAAGGTAAATATGAGTCAACAAAGTAACATGGTTGCAAAAAAAGCAAACATCATTCTGGGATGTATTAGTAGGAGTGTTGTATCCACATACGAGAAGGAATTCTTCCACTCTAGTTGAGGCCTAATCAGCCCAGAGTAGAGTACTGTGTCCAGTTCTGGGCATCACATTCCAGGAAAGATGTGGACAAACTGGAGAAAGTCCAGAGAAGAGCAACAAAAATTATTAAAGGTCTAGAAAACATGATCTATGAGGGAAGATTGAAAAAAATGGGTTTATTTAGTCTGGAGAAGAGAAGACAGAGGGGACATGATACCAGTTTTCAAGTACATAAAAGGTTGTTACAAGGAAGAGGGAAAAAATTGTTCTCCTTAACCTCTGAGGATAGGACAAGAAGCAGTGGGCTTAAATTGCAGCAAAGGAGGTTTGGATTGGACATTAGGAAAAACTTCCTAACTGTCAGGGTGGTTAAGCACTGGAATAAATTGCCTATGGAGGTTGTGGAATCTCCATCACTGGAGATTTTTAAGAGCGGGTTAGACAAACACATGCCACGGATGATCTATTTAATACTTAGTCCTGCCATAAATGCAGGGGACTGGACTAGATGACCTCTTGAGGTCCCTTCCAGAATTCTGTGATTCTATGACTCTGTGGGTTCAACTGTTACTATGTTATCAAGCAAACTATAACCCAATATTAATGAATCACACTACCAGAGAAAAACATGTAATCAATCCATCAGAACCAGCAAAATAAGAGCAAAAATAATGGCAGTGAGTAATCATCATTCCCTTGATGTGGAGTCCTATGAAATTCACATTTTTACAGCAAAAGCTCGCACAAGGTGCCCTCACAACTTTAAGTGAGAAAAATAAAAATTTTGAAATAAATATACAAAACAATTGGGCTAAACAGGGTAATTCTGGCTATCAGTAAATATAGTTGTGACTCATATATACAGATTGTAAGGAAGGGGGAATTTGAAATCTCGGGTTTGATAATGGCTTATACAGATTTTCAACTTAAAGTCATTACTTTTAACACTGTACTAGGAGAATAGTGACCAAAAAAGCAATCACTGTTTGGTAGCTTTTCAGTGCTTACTGTATATGAAACAGACTACTGGGCTGAGTGTTGTTAGTCGCCAAATGCCCTCCAACACATGCTTCTAGGGGATATCAACGCAATGACGGCAAAGATAGTAGAAATGGCAGAAATACATCATAATGAGAAAGGTGTGTTCTTCTGGTACTGTACATACCATGATGTTCTCTGTTCTTCTGTACTAACAAGGACAGTTTCAAGGCTGGTGCATTCATCTTGAGGCAGTTGTTAGATATGATTAATGTGGGGAAAGCCCTGAGAAGGACTGGAAGTCCCCTACCTCCATGCTGCTGATATCCTGGAACTCCTCCTCAGAAATAAGGTTCTCTTCTTTCATAAGATCTGGATTGTGCTGGGCAGACCCTCTCACTCCACTGGTGTCTGTAGGGCGGCTACTGGAGTGGGATGCAGGCCCCTAGTTCAGAGTTACTTCTGTTCCCACTCAATATGGCTTGTCAGAACTCCACATGGAAGTGGGGGGAGGGGCAGCACACTCTGAGCAGAACAGCCTCACTATTAGGGCAGTGCTGGAGCTGAGCAGGAAGGGGATTTCTTCCCTTTCCTCCATGGTATTTTTAGGCTTTCATATTGCTTCTTCTGCTCCATGGGAACTCTGGTGCCATCTAAGGCCCAGAAATTAAGATATCACTTCACAGAAAAGATGCCAGCTGCAGCTACCCAGCAGGGGCATGATACCTGGGCAAATTCTTGTGAGCCTACAGATGGAATCAGGGATGGAGACAAAAATTTTCATTCTGGATTGGTTGTCACCTGGCAGAGTGACGAAAGAGAGGACACACACCCAGCACCATGAAAACTATACTGCCACCTTCAGGGGATAAAGCTTATTTTAGGCCATTTTTATTGCTTTTTATGAAGTAGCTTCCTTCCACCGGAAAGTTTCTAGTTACTCTGTTAGTATAGTTGGGTGAATTTTACTGAGGTGGGTAAAATAATTCAACAAATCAGATATGTTCTGTTATTCTACTCACTATCCTTGTGCCTTACATATCAAATGCAACTTTGCTTTCTCAGTATTACTCTAACTGTCCTTGTTTCAAAGGTATAAACAGGGAACTGAATAGCTGAATAGTGGATTTTCTAATGGTTAAGTTAAAATATTTATCTATAGAAATGACATGTTATTAAATGCATATTGGGAGCATCATTAAATTAAGGTCCCACATACCTTGTAATAGGATTGACCTAATTATACAGGAAAACCCACAACTGTTGTTTCTGAAGTATTCTGATATGACAGACTGGAAACTTTACTGCAGCTTCAAGTAATTTTTTTAATGGATTACTATTAATTTAAAATAAAACAAATCAGACTATCCAATCAGTATCACTGGTGCTATTTAATTTGGTATTAAAAATTGGTATTTTATTGCTGCCCCTTACATTTTCGGTTTTTTTGTACACTGCAGAATTTTATACCAAACATAGAAAACTACATTCTAGAAGTTCTCAGGGGAACCTGAATGCTTAAGTAAAAGACAGACGGGGCTTTTGGCACTTGGGAAGGCATAGCAGATAGTTTGGGGTTGCAAGATAAGCACATTATAGGAAGAAATGGTTAACAACAATGACATTTTAAACGATTGTCATTGGATTTCAGAGCTAAATGGGGCAATTCTCATGTCTCTAGAGCTATTGTTTCAGGCTGTCTGCAGACTCAGGCAGGTATCCCTAACATGCTTACACAGTCTCATTTAAAAATTCTCACTGCAACCATAGGGCTAGAAATTTAATTTAAAAAAATGAAAGCTTAAATTCATGAGGAAATTATGTGGTAAATTTACACCTGCAAATTCATGATGTATGTGTGTACTATATTTAAAAAGTAATAAATTAATAAATTTAGTACCAACAATGTCAGGAATTATGCAATTGCAAAATATAAATATACAAATTAACAACTGGAAAATGGGTGACTCAGGAAATTAGTACTGAGTCTGAAGCCACTTGCTTGACTCTGCAAACAGTAGTCATGACTAAAAGTTGTTAGTCTTTGGTGGACATTTGGCAACCTCTGCTGAAGGAGTCCAATTGCAAGTGGACAACGAAGGCAAAGACATAATCAGAGTTAGTATAATTGCTAGTAGTCTAGCAACATAAATTTATTTGGCCTCCATTTTCCTTCCACACTGTTGTCAGTTTGTGGATAAATTGTAGGCTTAAATTTTTAGAAATATAAGCACAGTCCCCTTCACGGGGAAAAAAAAACAGGCAATAGTAAGGATTTAAAGGGCCTAAGAAAAAATGTAAATTTCCCCCCCTTCATTCTATTTTTTCCACCAATAATGCCCCAAATTCCTCCTGTTTCCCCTCAGGCCTCATATCAAGCCTCTGGCCTTATGACAAGGGGTTATGTCTCAGGTTCTCTTCCTACTACAATAGGGACAGAGGGCAAGTGAGGCCAGCAGCAGGCTTCAAAGGTCTCCCCCTTTTATTGTAAGGTTATTTAGTTCTGTAAGAAAATGATGGTTCATCTGGTAGGATAAGAAAGAGTTACCCCTTCTGAAGAGAGGGATATCTGGGGTGACAATGGGGATCAGTCACAGTGGCAGGATGTATTCAGCCAGCCCCTCCACATCCCTGTCTCTATACTTCCCTCCCCAAGTCATCCCATGACAGCCTGAACATTGTCAGGGGAAAGAGCTAGAGAGAGGCTCATGCCAGTGTAAGCATGAATTTCAGAACTTCTCAGGCAGCTCCCTAGCTAAGACTCATATAGTTTCAAAGGATCTGTTTTGGGTGCATCAAGATGTCTGTGACGGACTACTAGGATGGACTATTGCTGTGTGTTCTGTGCCATAAGGCAGACAATGCTTTAGCTGCATGAGCCATCTGTTCAAGCACTTGAACTATCAAATATGGACAGACTGGCTAGCATATCTAGCATATGCCCATGTTAGTTCAGGTCCATTATGCTGACATAAGAAATGTTCTTCAGCAATCTAGGATCAAAGATTCACATTGATGGGAATCAGAACCATGTTCCAAAGCAAGCTTTTCATAATGCTTTATTTATTTATTTAAAGATAACAGGCTTTGAGTTACTGTACTATAGCTCCTCACAGTCATGCTGATGACTGCAAGACTGAGAAATAGCCTCTCACTTCCAAGAGTATCTGACCTTACAAACCCAGTCCAGTACAGATAAGAAGTTGTGTGGAGGTGATTCATATCAAAAGCTGGGCAGCAACTTCTCTCGGGAAAAGGGTTTCACATCAAGGCTGCTTTAAAGCTGAATATTTTAAAATTTCATTCTAATAATAAGATAAAGACCAAATTTAGTCTGATTTTTAAAGCTACATTTAAAAAGCCTTATTTACAATTTAATGTTACCTATATTTGGTTCTCCTTGACTTTTTTACTCATTGCCAGTAAATGAACCATTCTCTTTCCCCTTCTGATCACAATCTTGCAGTTTCCTATAAGGGAATCTGACTAAGGCCATGTCTACGCTAGAGAGCTTACAGCAGCACATCTATACAGATACAGCTGAGCTGCTGTAAGATCGCTCATGTAGCTGCTCTATGCTGATGGGAGAGAGCTCTCTTGCCGACATAGCACTGTTCACACCAGCATTTCTATTGGAGTAACTTATCTTGCTCTGGTGTGTTTTTCACACCCCTGAGCGACATAAGCTATACCGACAAAAGTGGTAGTGTAGACATGCCAAAGGGTATGTCTACTCAGCAGCTGAGAGATTTAATTCCCAGCTCAGTTAGATGTACATGTTAGCTCTGCTCAGGCTCGCACCTAAAAATAGCAGGGTGGCAGGAGTACAACCGGCAGCAGCTTGGGATAGCAGCCTGAACACAATCCAGCCTGAAAGCCTGGGTACATATTCAGCAGAATTGACTCCTTGAGGACCTGCTCCATGATTTTTCCGGGACTCAGGTGAGGCTGACTGGCCTGTAGTTCCCAGGATCCTCCTCCCCTTTTTTAAAGATGGGCACTACATTAGCCTTTTTCCAGTCGTCTGGGACTTCCCCCGATTGCCATGAATTTTCAAAGATAATGGCCAATGGCTCTGCAATCACATCCACCAACTCCTTTAGCACTCTCGGATGCAGCGCATCCGGCCCCATGGACTTGTGCTCGTCCAGCTTTTCTAAATAGTCCCGAACCACTTCTTTCTTCACAGAGGGCTGGTCACCTCCTCCCCAGGCTGTGCTGCCCAGTGCAGTAGTCTGGGAGCTGACCTTGTTCGTGAAGACAGAGGCAAAAAAAGCATTGAGTACATTAGTTTTTTCCACATCCTCTGTCACTAGGTTGCCTCCCTCATTCAGTAAGGGGCCCACACTTTCCTTGACTTTCTTCTTGTTGGTAACATACCTGAAGAAACCCTTCTTGTTACTCTTAACATCTCTTGCTAGCTGCACCTCCAGGTGTGATTTGGCCTTCCTGATTTCACTCCTGCATGCCCAAGCAATATTTTTATTCTCCTCTCTGGTCATTTGTCCAATCTTCCACTTCTTGTAAGCTTCTTTTTTGTGTTTAAGATCAGCAAGGATTTCGCTGTGAAGCCAAGCTGGTCGCCTGCCATATTTACTATTCTGTCTACACATCAGGATTGTTTGTCCCTGTAACCTCAATAAGGATTCTTTAAAATACAGCCAGCTCTTCTGGACTCCTTTCCCCCTCATGTTATTCTCCCAGGGGATCCTGCCCATCAGTTCCCTGAGGAAGTCAAAGTCTGCTTTTCTGAAGTCCAGGGTCCGTATTCTGCTGCTCCCCTTTCTTCCCTGTGTCAGGATCCTGAACTCAACCATCTCATGGTCACTGCCTCCCAGGTTCCCATCCACTCTTTGTTTCCCCTACTAATTCTTCCCGGTTTGTGAGCAGCAGGTCAAGAAGAGCTCCGCCCCTAGTTGGTTCCTCCAGCACTTGCACCAGGAAATTGCCCCCTACGCTTTCCAAAAACTTCCTGGGGATTGTCTGTGCACCGCTGTATTGCTCTCCCAGCAGATATCAGGGTGATTGAAGTTTCCCATGAGAACCAGGGCCTGCGATCTAGTAACTTCTGTGAGTTGCCGGAAGAAAGCCTCGTCCACCTCATCCCCCTGGTCTGGTGGTCTATAGCAGACTCCCACCACGACATTACCTTTGTTGCCCACACTTCTAAACTTAATCCAGAGACACTCAGGTTTTTCTGCAGTTTCATACTTGAGCTCTGAGCAGTCATACTGCTCTCTTACATACAGTGCAACTCCCCCACCTTTTCTGCCCTGCCTGTCCTTCCTGAACAGTTTATATCCATTCATGACAGTATTCCAGTCATGTGGAGTTATCCCACCAAGTCTCTGTTATTCCAATAACATCATAATTCCTTGACTGTGCCAGGACTTCCAGGTCTCCCTGCTTGTTTCCCAGGCTTCTTGCATTTGTGTATAGGCACTTAAGATAACTCGTAGATCGTCCCTCTTTCTCAGTATGAGGCAGGAGCCCTGCCCTCTCGCGCGCTCCTGCTTCCTCCCGGTATCCCACTTACCTCAGGGCTTTGGTCTCCTTCCCCCGGTGAACCTACTTTAAAGCCCTCCTCACTAGGTTAGCCAGCCTGCTTGCAAAGATGCTTTTCCCTCTCTTTGTTAGGTGGAGCCCGTCTCTACCTAGCACTCCTCCTTCTTGGAGCACCATCCCATGGTCAAAGAATCCAAAGCCTTCTCTCCGACACCACCTGAGTAGCCGTTCGTTGACTTCCACGATTCGATGGTCTCTACCCAGGCCTTTTCCTTCCATGGGGAGGATGGACGAGAACACCACTTGCGCCTCGAACTCCTTTATCCTTCTTCCCAGAGCCGCGTAGTCTGCAGCGATCTGCTCAAGGTCATTCTTGGCAGTATCATTGGTTGATTCTTCTATTTGCATTAAACTTTTTTCAGCATCAAGGGCTGCTCTCCCCTTGTTTCCTTTGCATAGCCTCTTGTACGAAACAATGGTTTCTACTGTGAGGTCAGCAGCAGAAGTAAAGGGAACTTTATAACCATGCTATGCAGAAGAAAGTTACCAAAATAGTAGGAAAAGTGGGACAATTTACAATGCAATATTAAAACTAAATTACATTTATAAAATTTAGATCAAGATTGGTCTTTAACTAAGTCTGTCTTATTTAAGAACCAACTCCACACTGCCCCTTATTCATAGAATGCACTCCTTGAAGTTATCTGTTAGGCCTCTATCCTCTCCTCCTTAAAATCCATCCTAAAAACTCACCCCTCTTGTGATATTGACAGGATAGCTGATTTTATTTGAAAAGAAGCAAAAATTGCAAGATGATTTGGAACAATCAGAAATTATCAACTTGTGCAGTAGCTTAACTGTATAACCACAATATTTCTTTATTTCTTTGTTACACCTATTCTCTCTTCCCCGCTTGTAGATCCTATTGCAATTCACATTAATAACAACAGTAATAAAATAAAGCCCTTGCATGTAACTACCCACTAAAGCAATATTACTGCTTTTAAATTTTTTCACTTTCCACTTTTGCTTCATCTCTTGTCAACCCTCCACAATGGCTGAGGCTACCTACTGCTTCAAGGTTACTGAAAGCCTTTGGCTGGCTGCTTACCTAGAGTTCAAAGGCTAACATACAAGTTGAAGTGATATTCCTTGCATTTTCTCACCATTACCCTCTTCTTACTCTCCCTGCTTTAAACTGTTAACTCATGTCTTGCCTATGTTAGATTGAAGTTCTCATGGCAAAGAACATCTTACTGTTTATAAACCATCAATTAAACTTACAGAGCTGTATCTAGCAAGTGCCCAATCACCACAGTGTCTAGGCACTATATGATATTTTAAATAATAAATAGTATTATAATATTCTGCATTCTATCTGCTCCAATGAGAGCTTTTTGCCATTCTGATGACTGACAGGTGCTAACAGTAGCAGTGCCTTTCATATTGGTTCCAAAATACATTCAAGAAGGGACAGTGGAAGGTAACAAATAGGGCTTTTAAAATTGCAGGAGGTGATGCTGATGTGGCACAGGAACAATGCTGCTAAACAGAAAAATCTTATTTAAGTTTTCATTTAGTTCTGTTAACCTCATTTGCAAGCTACATGATCAGTGAACACAGTCCAGAATACTGATTCCTGTAGGATGTTGCTAATACTTAATATATACTACCTTAGAAAATCTGGCCATGTGAGCTTGTTGTTCAGCTTCTAGGAGGGACTTGGTGAGCTGTAACTGCTCCTTCAACTTATCGATCTCATCCTGTAATTTATCTGTCTTTGCTTTCTTCTTTTGTTCTGCTTGAAAGAAATATACATTTGCAAAATGTTAATTATATTTTTGGGAAATGAGATTTTTCCTACAGATGTCTTTCTTCTATGCTTCTCCAACCTTTTCATTCTGTGAACCACTACTCTCACAGATCATCTTTCCTCCCAATATCACAATTCCTCATAGATTGCTTCTCAAAATAATACATTCTCTGGACTACTAGAATAAGATCCATGGGCCATAGGTTGACAGCCATTGTCTTATTGAAAATATAGCATGTGAAATAAGCTTATGAAATATTTAATATTAAAAATGAACTAATTTGACATAGATAATCTAATTTCAACATGTTTTATAGGAATGTAAGGGGCAGAAGGTCAAAGGAGGAATGAAAGGCATGACTCCCAAATATATAATTCTGCAAGATTCATTAAAGGATGTTAATTAGTCAATTTCTTTATCAGTCCATATAGAGATACAACTTTGATTATTCAACCAGGGTGCTAAACTCAGCAATCCAGTATAATAATCGTTGTTACACTACTTTATTTGGTAGATTATTGTAAAATAATTTTCTTAAAAACAATACTGCAGATCAGGAAGTGGAATTATATCAGGATACCTGCACTTCAAATTGTTCAAGGCATGTGGCCTTTGGTCTTGTGACTCACAACATTAAATATGCATGAGTTAGCAATTCAGTATACATGGTTAGAGGTGTATGGTAAAGAGACTTTGTCAGGTTGCTTCAGAGGAATTTGCATGTACAGAGTACTGCTACATTTTTATTCTTGTCAGCATAAATGATGAATTTAGGGATTTTCTTCTTTGCCTCTTCTGCTTTGTGTCAACTGAAGAATATTTATAGTGTGAAAGACATTCTTCATATTTTTGCTTGTTTTACCCCAATATATTTTTCTCACCATGTGTGTGATTCATTGTTGCTGGGAGCTGGTGTTCTTTAGCAATGGGAAAGGTGTTAGGGAACGAAAGTGGGGGATGGTGAGCCAGAGAGGTTGGCAATGGAGCAGGAGCAGCTGGATAGCGGTGGTCAGGAAGCAAGAGCAGCAGGGAGCAAGAGAAATGGGCTAGGGGGAATGATATAGGATGGAGACAGGGTTTGAACACTAGCCTGAGAGGCCAATAAAATAGCAGTAGTTGAAGGAACTGAAAGATATGTTGGTAAACTGGTAGAGGAAAGCAGCTATGATGTGCTTGGAAAAGGAGGGTAATGGGAGGAATGGCAGCCAATTGAGCTGGATTCATTCTGTATTAGCAAGAAGAATTACTGTGTGAGGGGAGTGCTCCAACTCTTTGAACACTTAGGGTATGTCTACACTGCAATAAGACACCCACAGCTGTGCCAGCTGGCTTGGGCTTGTGGGGCTTGGGCTAAGGGGCTGTTTAATTGTAGTATAGATGTTCAGGCTCAGGCTGGAATCTGGGCTCTAGGATCCTTCCCCCGCATAGGGTCCTAGAGCCCGATCTCCAGCCCAAACCTGAACATCTACACCGCAATTAAACATCCCCTTAGACTGAGCTCCTTAGCCAGCTGTGGGTTTTTAATTGCTGTGTAGACACATTCACAGTTACTCCCATTGTTCTGCTATGTACTCAGATACTGCAGTGATGGGCAAACTTATAAAAACCTAGATAGATTGATAAAGTGGCATGTCAAGATTAAAGATGGATACATTTTTGAGTGTACATTTTAAACAATTTTTTAACAGTGACCCTTAAAATGAAATTCTGGGAACAGAAGTTTCACCTATCTAATCTAAACAAATTCATAAGTTTCCCTATAACTATCACATTGTACTATCACTATTAATTTATTGTGGGCCTGATCCAACTCTTGCTAACTTCACTGGAAGTGGAGTGGATCCTATAATGATAACAAAACTTTTTTTATAAAATGTACTTTTCCATGGTACATCCTGTTCAGTGGCAATACCACCCACATTTTCACAGTTTTCAAATACTCAGAGGAAGCCATTGCTCTGAATTCTGCCACTGGCAAAGGTATTCAGCAGGAACTCAGTTTGAAAAATGATTCTAAACATGGCAGCATGCTATTCCATGTTTATAATCTTTCAGTGAAATAACTGCCATATCACATTTGGTCAGTTTACGTGATCTGTCTGTCAAATGTACAAACTCACTCTGGGGCTTATAAGTCAAATGGCTTCCTTCTGGGTCACACAAAATCCAAATTGCATATCCTGAATATATTTTACATATTTCTATATCACCTTAACTTTCCTGATAGTGTGAAAGTACTCACCAGTGTGAGACTCTTCCTTATGGCGTCGTTGCATATGACTTTGTAGAAAGGAATAGTTCATAAAAGCCTTATCACAAAACTGACACTACAAAATACAGATAGATATTTGTCTTAGGTAACAACATTAAGTGCTGTTTTTTTTAATTATAACAGTTAACATTTTTTGAATTAGCCTATTACATTTCTCTGTACAGTAGCCCATTCTTGTACATGGCAACACTGTGATACTGATTTGAATTCCAACATTATTCAATTTAAATGACATAGCATGCTGGTGATAACCGATGAAATATTCAAGCTTGAGTAGTAATGTTAGGAATCATATCTTCTGTAAGATTAAGCCACTAGAAAGTGATAAGGTCATAGACACTTGAGAATGTCTGGCATTCTAGTCAAGACAAGGCGATGATTGAGAATATTGTGAGAAAAGACACAAACACACTTTCTAATTAATGTTATAATTAGAGTGGAAAACAAGTTTAAATTATTATCCTTATTATCACTCACTCTTAACTTTAAAATAAAATCTCCATTTGGGCTGAAATGCTCCAAGTTTGGTTTTAAAAAACGTGAAATATGAGGAATATCCATGCCACTATTTTGGATTACAAAAACTGAAAAGAAAAATACATGTACTTTCCCATTGTGAAATTGTATTGCCACACTTTCTCTCCTTCCAATATATATAACTCAACAATAGCTGAACGGAGAAATTTGGCATTTAACAGTGCACACTTTGAACTATATATCCATGTTGGGATGGGGGGAGTGGGAGGTTGAATCATAAAATACCATAGGTCATCCAGGCAATGTGGTAGTGTAAGATTACTTGTGCTTTGTAGAGTCTAGTTTTAAATGTGCCAAGAAATGGGGATTCCATCCCTACTTTTGATAAATTATTATATATGAATACCTTCTTTTACTATGCTAAAATTCTTCCATTCTGCATATTGTTATCGGGACACATCCCACCCCTTAATCTATGGTTGCCAACTTTATAATGTTTTAAAACTGGACACTCCAGCAAGAGTGCCAGAACATCCCCCACTCTGCCCTCTTCCCCCGCCCCAGACCCTACTCCTGCCCCACCTCTTCACCCCCGCCCCCAAGACACCGCACCCCATTCACTTCTCTTCCTCTCTCCCCCCGTCACTCACTGCTTTTCCCCTTTGCCCAGGTCGGAAGGGACTCACCAGTGGAGCCAGGCTGGGAGTTGCAGTTGCCCAATGCAGATAGGAGGCGGCCCTGACTGAATAGGGACTGGCATGGGTAATCATCCAGCGCCTCCCTGCCTCCCCAGCCTGCAGTAACTGGACTTTCCTGTCAAAAACTGGACACCTGGCAACCCTACCCTAATCACGAGACAGTCAAGGCATATCTCTATTATGGCTCTGATCCTGCATCAGGTTCCACTAATGCGGAGTTCCATTGACTTTAGCAGATTCTAATGCAGGATCAGGGCCCTAGCCTTTTCTCATAAATCAATCTCCCCAGCCCTCAAAGGTCTTCTGTAGCTCATTCACCCTCCTCTGAATTAATGAAATTCCCAGAAAGTAAAAGCAATTCCAGGTGTGATGGTGCCAGAGCTATGTAAATATTTATTAGCTCCCATCCCAGAATACGTTTGCAGCCCAAAATTGCATTGACTTTTTGTTTCCTTCCCATATTATACTGAAAACTCTGATGAAATTTGAAGAAACCTACTATCCTTAGACATTTTTAGCATTACTGCTTTTCAGGACACTTAGAAAGGGAATGAGATAAGGAAAAGTAGAGTTGTGGGGGGAATCATGCTGGAGAGAATAATAGGGAGGAGGAGCTGGAGCAAGAAAGGGGGACAGTTGCAGATAAATAAAAGCAACGTTTATTAGGATCCAAAGTAATAACAAAATACAGCAAAAACTCACTGATTCATATAGCACAAACCTTAAAGAATCTGCCTCCCACCCAACCTTTCAGGACAAATATAACAGCAGAGGAGGTAGTAAGGTGCCGAATTACATACTTCGTTTTTTTTATACAAAATATACTACAGAACATTTACACATTCTTTATGATTTGTCCTGCCTCTAATGGTGTGTATTTAACACATTCGTTTACACTCATCTTTTATAAATGTAGATATGAATTTTATCAAATTTGGATCCTGTTGGTATATTTTAAAGCTTTTTAATTCATCCTTAAAGTACATTTTGCTCATTTTAAGAGTACATGAACAAAATGTACAGCTGTTGAAAGTGATTGACCAGGTTGTGAATCAAAACCCCTCATTTCTTCATAAGGTCTGATGGCTAACTATCCTTGGCTATCGTATATGTTTTAAAACATACAAATCTGCTTGAGGGAGCCACAACTGCACACTTAAGTCAGTCAGTCACACTGATGTGATATGAATGTAAAAGACAATTTCAAACTTGCACAGCAGATTTAAAATCTGTTCATTATAGCCAAATTCCCAGGTCTCATCTAGAATTTAAAATTCTACTACTGATGGCTAGTGTGATATTAAATATACATGTCTTGCAACCACCACTAAAACCATTAATAATTAAGTTACATTTTGTTGGATACATGCAAGGAAGTACTGACATAAAACCTAGATAGAGAAGGTATAGTATGGCAGCAAAGCAAAGAACCATCGGGGATCTTACACTGTAACAGATTGCGCATGATTTATGGTATTAAATTGGCTGTGAAATACTATTATCCATTCAAGCACTAAACTCATGTAGTAGAAGCAAGCTCTTATTCAACAATTAACACATGGAATGTTTATACTATGTGCCTATTACTGGTGACAATATTCCTCTAACTATTTTTCATAGTATTAAATACAAAAAAGCTTTTATGTAACATTAAGACCTTGTGCAAATCATCACAATATGAGAAATTCAAATATAGTAGAAAGCTGACATTCCTTCATGAAGAAAGACATTGTTTGAGTTTTTGAGCCTTAAAATGATCACACCTTAACAGCAATTCCATTTGACAGTTCCTATTTTTACAGTTTTCACTTGTTCTGAAGGTGTATTAAAGACATTAAACTTAAAACTCAAAACTCAATTACTGTGCATCACATTGAAAATAAAGTGCACATGCATTAAGAAAGGCAAGTGACTGTTTACAGCCTTGCTCATAAAGGGGCCAAAGCTTTAACGGGCATGGAACCTGAACTACCCACTGCGCAAGACTAGCAAAAACCCTATTGTTTGGCACTCCAGGACAGCCAAATGTTTAATACAGACAAGTGATATGTAATTGTTGGCTATGAGACAGCCTGCACTTACAAATACTAGAAACGGATAACATGGAGTCCTCCAAGTTCAGACCCAAAATGCTCACACCATTTTACAGATATTATTCAATATCATTTTCTGAACTCACCCCTCACTAAATCTGTCTAATTCTTAGAGATAATAATTTACTCCAAAGCATAAAAGGGGGAGAAAGAACTTTTTATTTTATATGACCTTAAATGGAAAATGAGACAAATGCCACTGAACAGAAGAAGGAAGATGAACTATACTCCAAGCCCAGTATTTTGCTTGATTCTTCTTCTGGCTCCACTCAGCCAGATAGGGCCTAAGTGTATTTTGAAGAGAATGCACATATTTGTGCTCTCAAATACAATAAGGGGATTACTTGACATTCAGTTGAGTTTACAATTCAACTGATGCAAGGGCTCACTCTGTTTCCATTTTCAACCCAGGTCAGATACTCTGGTCAAACAAGAAATCTAGAGCTTTTGAAATGCAAATCACATCAGCAGCTTCTCCTTAAGGCCCTGATCCTGCAGCTGAATCCACAAGGACCCTGCATTTGCACTGTGTCCTAATGAATTCTGCCCACATGGATACCATTACAAGACCGGGGCCTAAGTGAGGGAAACATACAACAAATAGCATAATTTGTTTTTAAAAATACAGAATTTTGGACAAAAAATATATATCTTCCTACTGGAGCACTGAATGTAAGATGGAATTTTTCCTTAGTCAAGACATCTTAGAGAAACAAAACTTTTCCTAGCCCACTGACATGCTGATGTTTCCTCTAATCAGGGTTGAAACACGTTGCTGGTACAGCATGGGAAAGCTTGCATTGCTCCTACCTATGCTGTACCTATTATTTGGATAAACAGAACTTTGACTTTCAGGAGTGTCAGGCTAGAGCATCTTTCAGTAGAGTTAAATCAACTTTAAATACACACACACAAACACACAAAGTTGGCCCAAGATCATGTTTGCCAAGTTTAAGCCCAGTATAGTCTTTAAATTTCAGAACACCTTTTAAGGCAATTATAAAGTCCCAAAATAGTTGCTGGGAAAAAAAATGAGAAAGCTGATACACCCTTAAACTGTTAATCTTTCTAAGACTTAATGTGCCCTATTCTCCCTTGTCTGCCTTCCACCTTACCTAATCATTTGCTTCAGAGTCCCTTTAGGGATATCACACAGGATGGTGAAATGAACACAAGCCTGAAAAAAGCTCATTGGTAAATAGGATGAGCTGGAAATCAAACGCCTCCTCTCTAAAGCTGTATGAGATTCTGGCCCCACAGTGCTGGGAATGAAACCGCAGCCTCTGGGGTATTTTGATGGGGACAAAGAACAAGGAGTACTTGTGGCACCTTAGAGACTAACAAATTTATTTGAGCAGAGGTGCCACAAGGACTCCTCCTTCTTTTTGCTGATACAGATGAACACGGGCTACCACTCTGAAACTTGATGGGGAAAGGACGGGGCGAGGGGGGGGAGAGCATATCCCCAAGGTAAGGAAGGTCCCTGGCCGCCCTGCGGTTGCACCGCGGGAGGGGGTGAGCACGAGCCGCGGCTAGAAGCGGGTCTCACCTGGTGATAGCTGGCTCTAGCCTCCAGCATCATCTGCTGGGTGCTGATCATCTTCTTCCGCTGCCTGCACTCCTCCTTCAGCAGCTTCATCTCCTGGGCGCGCCGGGCCGCCTCCTTGCCCACCTCACCGAGCTGGGCGTCGGCCGCCCGCAGCGCCTGCTCGCGGCCCCGCAGCTGGGCGCCCAGGTGCTGCTGGCAGTGCAGCAGGTACTCGATGGAGAGCTGCGCCAGGCGCACCAGCTTGAGCAGCAGCGGGTCGGCGGGGCCCTGGCAGTGCGGGCAGCGCAGCCGCTCGGCGCTGCAGAAAGTGACGTGGCCCAGGTGCTCCTGCAGGGCCGCCACGTCCAGCTCGCCCGCCACCCGCTCCACGTCCACGGCGCTCAGCCGGCGCCAGTCCGGGCTCCCGCGCCGCGGCCGGAACTGGAAGGCGGGTAGGGGGCCCGACGCGGCGGCGCTGCCCATCCCGGCCGGGCTGCAGGGGGAGCGGGAGGCACCGCTGGGCGCGGGGCCCCGAGTCCTGCCACCAGGCGTCCGGCCCCGGCCTCAGGCTCCGACCGTGCGCCGGGCCGCGGAGCCCGGAGCCCCCGCCCCGGCCGCTCGGCGTCTGCCGCGTTGCTATGGCAGCTGCGGGGAGAGAGCGAGAGTGAGACGCCTGGTACCTTCCCCGCCCCCCATCCACACACACTTCACTTCCTCATTCCCCTTCCCTTCCTCATTCCCCCATCCCAAACACCTTCCCACCCCCCCACCTGACCCCCCCTTCGCTTCCTCATTCCCCTTCCCAAACACCTTCCCACCCCCACCCACCTGACCCCCCCTTCACTTCCTCATCCCCCATCCCAAACACCTTCCCACCCCCCCACCTGACCCCCCCTTCGCTTCCTCATTCCCCTTCCCAAACACCTTCCCACCCCCCCACCTGACCTCCCCTTCGCTTCCTCATCCCCCTTCCCAAACACCTTCCCATCCCCCCACCTGACCCCCCTTCACTTCCTCATCCCCCATCCCAAACACCTTCCCACCCCCCCCACCTAACCCCCCCCTTCACTTCCTCATCCCCCTTCCCAAACACCTTCCCACCCCCACCCACCTGACCCCCCCTTCACTTCCTCATCCCCCATCCCAAACACCTTCCCACCCCCACCCACCTAACCCCCCTTCACTTCCTCATCCCCCATCCCAAACACCTTCCCACCCCCACCCACCTGACCCCCCTTCACTTCCTCATCCCCCATCCCAAACACCTTCCCACCCCCCACCTGACCCCCCCTTCCCCCATTCCCCTTCCCAAACACCTTCCCACCCCACCCACCTGACCCCCTCCATCCTCATCCCCCCTTCCCAAACACCTTCCCACCCCCACCCACCTGACCCCCCTTCACTTCCTCATCCCCCATCCCAAACACCTTCCCACCCCCCCACCTGACCCCCCTTCGCTTCCTCATTCCCCTTCCCAAACACCTTCCCACCCCCACCCACCTGACCCCCCTTCACTTCCTCATCCCCCTCCCAAACACCTTCCCACCCCCCCTACCCCCCTTCCTTCCTCATTCCCCTTCCCAAACACCTTCCCACCCCCACCCACCTGACCCCCCCTTCACTTCTTCATCTCCCATCCCAAACACCTTCCCACCCCCCCACCTGACCCCCCTTCGCTTCCTCATTCCCCTTCCCAAACACCTTCCCACCCCCACCCACCTGACCCCCCTTCACTTCCTCATCCCCCATCCCAAACACCTTCCCACCCCCACCCACCTAACCCCCCCTTCACTTCCTCATCCCCCATCCCAAACACCTTCCCACCCCTGCGGCCTCACCCCCCCCCCCTTCACTTCCTCATTCCCCCATCCCAAACACCTTCCCACCCCCACCCACCTGACCCCCCTTCACTTCCTCATCCCCCATCCCAAACACCTTCCCACCCCCCCACCTGACCCCCCTTCGCTTCCTCATCCCCCTTCCCAAACACCTTCCCACCCCCACCCACCTGACCCCCCTTCACTTCCTCATCCCCCATCCCAAACACCTTCCCACCCCCCACCTGACCCCCCTTCGCTTCCTCATTCCCCTTCCCAAACACCTTCCCACCCGCACCCACCTGACCCCCCTTCGCTTCCTCATCCCCCTTCCCAAACACCTTCCCACCCCCACCCACCTGACCCCCCCTTCACTTCCTCATCCCCCATCCCAAACACCTTCCCACCCCCACCCACCTGACCCCCCTTCACTTCCTCATCCCCCATCCCAAACACCTTCCCACCCCTGCGGCCTCCCCCCCCCTTCACTTCCTCATTCCCCCATCCCAAACACCTTCCCACCCCTGCGGCCTCACCCCCCTTCACTTCCTCATTCCCCCATCCCAAACACCTTCCCACCCGCACCCACCAGACCCCCCTTCACTTCCTCATTCCCCCATCCCAAACACCTTCCCACCCGCACCCACCAGACCCCCCTTCACTTCCTCATCCCCCTTCCCAAACACCTTCCCACCCCCACCCACCTGACCCCCCCTTCACTTCCTCATCCCCCTTCCCAAACACCTTCCCACCCCCACCCACCTGACCCCCCCTTCACTTCCTCATCCCCCATCCCAAACACCTTCCCACCCCTGCGGCCTCACCCCCCCTTCACTTCCTCATTCCCCCATCCCAAACACCTTCCCACCCCCCACCTGACCCCACCTTCGCTTCCTCATTCCCCTTCCCAAACACCTTCCCTTCCTCATTCCCCTTCCCAAACACCTTCCCACCCCCCCACCTGACCCCCCCTTCGCTTCCTCATTCCCCTTCCCAAACACCTTCCCACCCCCACCCACCTGACCCCCCCTTCGCTTCCTCATCCCCCATCCCAAACACCTTCCCACCCCTGCGGCCTCACCCCCCTTCACTTCCTCATTCCCCCATCCCAAACACCTTCCCACCCGCACCCACCAGACCCCCCTTCACTTCCTCATTCCCCCATCCCAAACACCTTCCCACCCGCACCCACCTGACCCCTACCCTTGTTCACACCGCCTCACTCCCTCATCCATACACACTGCACCGCCTCACTCCCCTCGTCCCCAAACACCTCACCACCTCACTCACCCATCCGTAACCACCTCACCCCTATACTCCTTATCCTCCCATCTTCAAACACCTCCTCATCCCCATACCCCTCACTGCCTCACTCTTCCATCCCCAAACACCTCACCCCATCCTCACCACTCTATCCCTAAACACTTTGTCCCCCCCCACACCATCCTTCCTCACCCCCGAACACCTTGCACCCCTGCATACACAACCCCTCCCATATACACCTCAGCTTCTCATTCTTCCAGTCATTTCCAAACACATTCCATATCACCCCCTCCCCAGACACTCCTACACAACTCATATTGTATACACACCCCACTGTACACTCTCCTCATCCTCACAGTCACCCCTGTATCCTATACACATTCCACATAGCATTCAACCCACAAACACATCCTACATTTCTTCCCCTCCAGCCATTTCCTATGAACATCACACAACCCCTTCCAGTACACCTCACCCACTAGTCATACGTTTCACATCTCCCATTTCCAATATACACCCTTGTATAATTCATCCCCATATAGGACATATACAACCAAAATCTACTCCCATACACATAAAATGCACATCTACTGCCATACAGAAGGACAGAGAGAGCACATGTGTGCACACACGAGATTAGGGTCTTGTTTTTATTCAAAGTTGCACAGGTTTAATTAAAGGTGTGATTTTTTTTAAACCAATTCAGGTAAACCAGATAGTTTATGTAAGTGCTTCATTTGTTCAATCAATATTAAACCAAGTTTAGGAGTGTTCACACAGGGTTTTGAACTGGTTTAAATAAGGCCTGGTCTATGCTACAAACTTAGACTGACGTAAGTTGCCCTGCGTTGACCTATTCCTGCATGTATCTACACTCAAATTTGTCTTCAGCCAACTCCAGCGATGCAGTAAAACCACCTCCCCAAATGGTATAGAGCAGGGGTGGGCAAACTTTTTGGCCCGAGGGCCACATCTGGGAATAGAAATTGTATGGCAGGCCATGAATGCTCACAAAATTGGGGTTGGAGTGTGTGTGTGGGGGGGGTGAGGGCTCTCGTTGGGGGTGTGGGCTCTGGGGTGGGGCTGGGGATGAAGGGGTTTGAGGTACAGGAGGGTGCTCTGGGCTGGGATCAAGGGGAGCACAATAGATCCAGTACTGCGCTGCAGTCCTGACACTTCTACAAGGAATTGCATGCCATACTATGTGGAGATCCCACTAGCACCCAGCAGACCACTGTGGATACCTTTGAGGAACCTGAGACAGAGACCTCTGCAGTGAACACCAAGGAGGAGTAGGAGGGAAGATGCAGTGGGTGACTCCAGCCATGCCACGAGCTGGTACCTGTTTGAGACCGTGCCACAATCTAACCAGTCCCACCAGGTAAAATGCAGATGAGCCTGATCAAGGGGAAGGGAACTTGCGTAAGTGTATAAGGCAAAATGCATACATGTTTAAATTTAAAGATGACACTCAGTCTGTTAACAAGAGAAAGATATCGACTTTTCATTGTTTTATTTGTAGGAGAAGAGGTAGGGGTACAACAAACAGAGCAGAGTTGCATCTGATTTTCATTCCCCTGTTGGTTAGGCTGGGGAGGGAGGGATGTAGAGCACTTCATGTGCATAGGGATGTTCCTTTTATCCACCAGAGAGATCTTGATGAAACTTTCAGGGAGATACTCCACAATCTTCTCCGGAAGATTTCTAGAGATGGCTGCCTTATTTCTTCTTCCACGATAGGGCACTTTCTTATGCCACTCTGTGATGAGTTTGGCTAGCACCATTGCAGTAAACAGGCTAATGGCATACAGGCCTGGGCGGGTTCAGAACGTCAGCAACTGTGCTCTCTGTGCCTTTGTTACCCTGAGGAGTGAGATATCAGCTAAGATCACCAGAACCTGTGGAAAATAGTGCCAATATTCAGTGCCATTGCTCTATACTCATACCCATGGAATAGGGACTGAAATTTTATAGCTTCGTGGAACAGAAAATCCTTCCCACCTTGCCCTTGGTGGGCTGTATTCATCGTGGCTGGGGCTGGAGAGCAGTGCTATGCAGAGGTGTTCTAAAGCTGAAGTGTTAATAAGCATTTCTTATTAAAAGTGTTTTTGGGAGTAACGGAAGGGAGTTTTGAAATTTATCTTTCCCTTGTGATTGTAAATCCTGGAGTACATGTGTCTGTTTTTATCAGCAGCTTCTGGCAGGGCGGCCTTAAGGGGAGCCCTCTCCCCATCTGCAGAATTCCTGACCCTGATGAGGAGGAGAAAGATGAAAGAGGACATGTTCTGCAAGATCCTGCAAGCCAGTGCTGCAACAGACTGTGAACAAAGGGCTTGGAGGGCCAATATTACTGATACCATGGAAAAAAGACAGAGAAGACGGACCCAGAAGTCCCACCAGGACATAATGAGTCTTCTCAGGCTGCAAACCCAAATGCTGCAGACTGTGATGGACCCACAGGTTTAAAAATCTTGGACTCTCCACCTATTTCAGTCCTTGAAGAACTCCGTGGTCGCTGCCCCCATGCTCCAACATACCATGTGG